CCCAGCGCCGTTCACTTCTTGAAGAACTTCTTGTTGAGCAGGAAGAGCAGCAGGTTGACGTTGACTTTGGCTTTGCCGAACATCTTCATCACGGCGACGCCTTCGTACTGCAGCTGCAGCAGATCCTGCAGGGAGCACCGTCACCGCCATCGTCCCCATCAACCCCCCCCCCCCCCCCCCCCCCCCCCCCCCCCCCCCCCCCCCCCCCCCCCCCCCCCCCCCCCCAACCCCCCCCCCCCAAACCCACCCCCACAAACCCACCCCCCCAAACCCACCCCCCCACCTGGTAATGCAGCTGGAAGCGCTCCATGTCGACGCCCATGAATTGGGCTTTCACCTGGAAGCGGCCCGGCTCCCGGCACGGCACGATGTCGAAGACGACGTTCTTCAACCTGGGGGGCACAGGGGGGGCTGTGGGAGGGTGGGGGCGCAGAGACGATGGAGGTGGGAGGAGCCCCCGCAGGTCAGCTGGTCCCAACCCCCGCGATGAACCGAGGCGAAGGTCCTCCAACACAAATCGCTGCCGTGCTCCTGTGGTTCTAAGGACCTTTAAGGACCTTCCCAGCCCAAAGCTCTCCATGGTTTGGGACCTTTCAGGACCTTCCCAATTCAAAACTCTCCACAGTACACCTTTAAGGACCTTCCCAACCCAAAGATCTCCATGGTTGACTTTTAAGGACCTTTCAAACGCAGAGCTCTCCACAGTTTGGGACCTTTCAGGACCTTCCCAATCCAAAACTCTCCATGGTTGACCTTTAAGGACCTTCCCAAACCAAAGCTCACCATAGTTGACCTTTAAGGACCTTTTCAACCCAAAGCTCTCCATAGTTGACCTTTAAGGACCTTTCCAACCCAGAGCTCTCCATGGTTTGGGACCTTTAAGGACCCTCCCAACCCAGAGCTCTCCATGGTTTGGGACCTTTAAGGACCTTCCCAACCCAGAGCTCTCCACGGTTTGGGACCTTTAAGGACCTTCCCATCCCAAAGCTCTCCACGGCTGACCTTTAAGGACCCTCCCAACCCAAACCATTGCATGGTTTGGGCCCTTTAAGGACTCTC